TGGAAACTTCAAATCAAATAATTAAATTACCCCTAACTGTTTTCCAATTATTTCCATCTTCCAAGTTCTATCTTCAAACATGAAGTTGATATTTCAAGAAATGTAAGACTTTGATACTCTAGCTTTGAAATTGTGTTCAAAGCAGTAACAACAAAAGTCAAATCTGAGGAGAGATCAAACCACCTTGAAAGTCTCTGTGCCTCTCATCTTGAATGTGCAAATTAGCGTAGGAGTCATACGATACCAAGTGCTTACTGACCCCAGAATAACAAATGATCATTGCATCCTCTCCACATGGAATCAACTGAATGTGAAAGTGCAAAGAAATGCACAACCTCTGCTCTCTTCTTCTCTGCTGAGGGGAGGGGGATGTGCGTGTGACTGAGAACATGTGTCCAGATAGACCAAAGCCAGACTGAGGGGGAAAAAATTATATATAGATAGATAGATAGATGAAGATGAAGTTTTCCTGTTTGCCCCCATCTTCACTTAAAACATACATCATCTTTAATACACCAACAGCTTAAAAAAATCACAAACACGCAGGGAAAAAAACGCTAAAATTTAAAATGCTGATGTATAATCTTACCTAAACACATCATAATATGATACAGCTGATCAATATCAGAATCTCCAGGAAATAGGGGTTCCCCCATGAGCATTTCAGTTACCAAACAACCAATGGCCCAGACATCAACAGCCCTGCAAGAAAACAATGTGTTGTACAATCTGGCATCATAACATGTTTACCGTGCCTGTATCTGTTCTGCATGTTACTATTTGGTATTCTTGGTGTTGAGAACAGTAGTACAGTACAGATTGAGCATCCCAAATCTGAAAATCTGAAATCTGAAACAAAACTTTTTGAGCACTGACATAATGCTCAAACTTTTAGATTTGGAATGCTCAAATTTTTGGATTTGGGATGCTCAGCCAGTATAATGCAAATATTCAAAATCTGAAAACATCCAAAATCCTCAACAATTCTGGTCCCAAGCATTTTGGATAAGGGATATTCTATCTGTACTAAGCCTTTTAAATTACCCATAAAAAGACATTTCCCTATAAATTTAAAGGTCTAACTCCCAATTTTACATAAATGAAATTTCCAAAAACTTCAATCATGTGACATAAAAAGGAAAAGCCTTCTGAAAAGCTGTAACAGTTATGTGTACTTTATTCTGGAAATAAGACTCTCAGGCTTCACTCAGAGACTTCATTCTTTGTTTACATATAATTCTGACAAGTTTGATCAGTCTATGCTATGCCATGGTACACTGAAAAAAGCATACCACAAAAAGGAAGTGGTTGTTTAGAACAAACACAGTAACAACGGTTGTTCAGAACAAATACAGTAACAACAACGAGAACTGAAAGCTGATAGGAGGAAATTTTAAAACTATCTTAAAAATTAGTCACAAAGAAGAATATGTATGCCTCATTAGAATAGGGAAAACTACCTTGAAATTGTGTACGGTC